ACTCCAAAAAACTTCCCTCTGGGGGTTCAAAGAACCAAGTTGCAGTGAAGCTCTAACACTGTCCTCATCCAGGGCCCAAACTTGCACCCCGGGGGCATAAGACGGGGAAATCTATTCTGGGCATCTTTCCTTTCCTGGCTTACACGCTCCACTGAGCCTTAGATGCAAGTTATACGCCTCCCTGAGGAATGTCTGAGCCCCGAGTTTCTCACTACACTTTCTATTGTGAAAATAAGACTTACTCATTGCTTTAAAATGAGTTAAAAAAACAATGAGTTAAAAAAAATAAGTTAAAAATAATAAACATCTGGCATAGTGGCACACACATATAATCCCAGCCACTAGGGAGGCTGAGGTGGGAGGATCTCAAGTTCAAAGCCAGCCTCAGCACCTTTACAAGACCCTAAACAACTTAGTGAGACTTTGTGTCTAAACAAAATATAAAAAGGACTGGGGATGTGGCTCATCGGTTAAGTGCCCATGGGGTCAATCCTGGTACTTAAAAAAAAATAGATCAATAACTCGGGGCCGCAGGTGGAGTGCAGAGATAGATTGTGAGCTTACTTGCACAGGCCCTGGCTCAACCTCAGCACCTCAGACACAAGACAACCAGGGTGCGCCCTTCCACTGCAGGCAGGAGAGCCCAGGGGTAAATCCCAGGGTGGAATTGCTGGACCAGAGGGTGTGTACTTTGCAGGAAGGTCCCCCATGTCTCAGGCTCTCCTTCCTGAGAGAGTGGAGACAGTGCTGGGCTTGGCCTGTGTCTCCAGCCTGTTCCTGCCTCTCCTGGGAGCAGGTCTCTCTGCCCAGCCTCTGGTAACAGGCTGCCTCCTCCCCTGTCCCCAGGGCAGCGGCTGTTTGGGGAGAGCATCCTGGGCCTGACCCAGGGCTCTGTGTCTGACCTGTTGTCCCGGCCCAAACCCTGGCACAAGCTGAGCCTGAAGGGGAGGGAGCCCTTTGTCCGCATGCAGCTGTGGCTCAGTGACCCCCACAATGTGGAGAAGCTAAGGGACATGAAGAAGCTAGAGAAGAAAGGTAAGAGCTGGGCAGGGGACAGGTCCAGCATGGGGTCTGGCCTGTTTCCCTTTGGAACCTGCCTGGCTGCCACCTAAATATGCCCAGGCTCTCGCTGCTGGGAAACCACATGAAATGGCAGTCGCAGAGGACGGTACAGTGTTCTAAGAAGTGGGTGGCAGCATCTGCATCTCCCGTGAAAACCCCCACCCACAGCTGCCCCAGAGTGCTTGCAGCCTCAGGCAGAGGTCCCCAAACACTCCCATCCTCTGCCTCCGCTGCATGCTGTGCAGATGGAGCGCCCCTTGCCCTACCCAGACTCTACGATAAAGGACAGAACTGACCCAGCAGAAAAGAGGAGGAATAGACCCGAGTCCCACAGTCCCCTTAGAGAGCACTTCCCAGTGACCCGAAGACCTCCCATCACTTCCCATAGCGCCCACTTGCTGAGCCTCTAAAACACAGGCCTTTAGGGAGCATCCCAGACGCAAACTATAGCAGCGCCCCCCCTTTTTTTATTGGTGTTTTTTCCATTTGGGGTCAAAATGTGCCCGGCAGTAAGGGGGTTTGTTTAGACTCTGCTTGAAACTCAGTGAGGCTGTAGAGGGTGCTGTTGGGAGGCTTCCTGAGTGCAAGGCACCCTGCTGAGCCCTATATGCAGGTGACCTAACTTCAGAAGCCAGTGGCTTGGGTCTGGCACTCTCAGGCCAGCCTCTTAGCAGAGGAGTTGGGAGGAGGTGGAAATTCACAACAAGAAGAGCTCTGAGCGGGGATGACTGATCCCTGCTGTCCCTGGGGGGCTGATGGCGGTGTTGATGGACCCCTCAGCCTCCCTCCCTCCCCTGGCCCAGCCTACCTGAAACGCCGCTATGGCCTCATCAGTACTGGCTCAGACAGCGAGTCTCCAGCCACGCGCTCCGAGTGCCCCAGCCCCTGCCTGCAGCCCCAGGACCTGAGCCTCCTGCAGGTCAAGAAGCCCCGCGTGGTGCTGGCGCCCGAGGAGAAGGAGGCGCTGAGGAAGGCTTACCAGCTGGAGCCCTACCCCTCCCAGCAGACCATCGAGCTGCTGTCCCTCCAGCTCAACCTGAAGACCAACACCGTCATCAACTGGTTCCACAACTACAGGTGGGGGCTCTGGGCAGACCCAGGTGGGGTGGGCTCTCCCTATGCAGGGCCACTGTGGGCCCAGACGTGCCTGGAGTAGAGCCCAACTCTGTCCCTTCAACCGTGGGACCCTGGGCAATCACTTGCCTTCCCTAAGCCTCATTCTTCTGACCTATACAACAGGGACAGCATCCACCTCTTAGCTTCCTCAGAGATTGACAAACCGACACGTGCACATAGCATACCTGGGGCATAGTCAGTGGTAGGTACTGATGGTGTTGCTGTCGCTGCCATTATTACTCCACCCAGCTTGCTCTGCGTCTACCTCCAAGAAGGCACAGGGAACGGGACCTGGGGCACACACCCAAGACACTCTCACAACCCACTGGACTCAGGCAGGAGCCCTAACAAGGCTCTGAGTCCCTCCCACTCCTGAGGCTGAAAGAATTCCCCTGGTCCCTCCTTGGGTCTGCCTGCTTAGGGTCCTTGGGATGGAGTTTCCTCTTCTGTGGCCCCTGGTCTTGGGAGTCACTGACCTCTAGCAGACTGGACTTCTGGGAGCCAGTCCCAAGCTGGCTCCATGGAGACTGCAGGGGGTCTTCTTGAGCCCAAGCAGAGCCCCTAGGAGTGGGCTTGTGGCAGTATTACAGGGGCCTTAAGCAGGGAGCATCCTCAGTGCCCATGTGGTGCCAGAGAGCAGAGCCTACCCATTCATATTACTGGTGGAGAGATCTCTTGCTCCCCTAGGAAGAAGGAGGAAGAGGAGCCTAGGGAGTGGGGGTCTCAGGTGTTCAGTCCCAGCCTGGACTTAGGCATTGCACAGATCTGAGCCCAAGGCCTAACTTGGCTGTGTGGCCTTGGCAAGTCACTTTACCTCTCTGAGTCTCATCCTTACTTTACAGATGAGGAACCTAATACCTATCCCATAACTCTTGATCATGATCAAATGAAATAACTTTGGATATGAACATGTTAAGTATTGCTCATTATCTGACTCACACCAGAGCCTGCCAAACAGTGCATGACAAGGTCCTTACAGCCTTCTCCCCCTCCTTCCCTCCCTGAGTGATGTGGGGACATCTTCTCACCTCTGATTGCCACGAGACTGAGCATTCCATCATTGCCCAGCATGACCATGCCCACGGTACTAACAAAGCTTGCACAGTGAGCCAGCATCTGGAGTCAGGTTGAAGCCATCCTGCTCTCGGGAGTTTATGATCATGAACTAGGTCACCTTACTATGACCCAATAAATGCTGTAGGATGAGGAGGAATAAAGATCTTAGGGAAAGAGGATTCTTCCTGGGGAATACTTTAGAGAAGAGGAGGCATTCAAACTTCCTTATTTTGAAGGAAGTATAGGGGTCTGTACCAAGGAACAGAGGGGATTCTTCTCTTAAAAGAAATGACTCTCCAAGGTTATCACCGCAGAAGAAGACACTATTTCATTTGATAAATGTTTGTTGAGCACCTACTCTGTACCAGGCACTGCAGAGAACTAGAAAATCCTTGCCCCTAGCATCTTCCAGGCCAGCAGGTATTCACGATCACATATCATGCACTGCAGTGAATTCTGGGAAAGATGTACCACAGGATGTGTTGAGAAAATTACCAGGGAGTTCCTGCTTTAGATTTGGGAGTCCTCCTGGGCAGTGGGTAGGTCCAAAATACTGCTCATGCAGCTGAGTCCAAGGTTCCTGGGTCCCTGGTCCAGCCCCAGGCTCACCATTCTCTCTACCCCAGGTCCCGGATGCGCCGGGAAATGTTGGTGGAGGGAACCCAGGATGAGCCAGACCTCGACCCAAGTGGGGGTCCTAGTGTCCTACCACCAGGCCACTCCCAGCCGGACCCTGCCCTGCCGAGCCCTGACTCCGAAGCTGAGGACCAGAAGCCCACTGTGAAGGAACTGGAGCTTCAGGAGGGTTCTGAGGAGCGCATCATGCCCCTGACCGCCCCGGACAGGTCCCAAGTGAGGATCAAGCAGGAGCAGAGCGAGGAGGACACTGAGGAGGAAGTGGGTGGCCAGCCCCAGGACCCAGGGGAGCCAGACAAAGGCCAAGGACCCCCCAAAGAGGAGCATCTTGACCCTCTGAGTAATGATGGACTCCCAAGAGTGGCCCCAGAGCCCCTTCTTTCAGGCGGAAACACCTCAGACTGCACCTCACTACATCCCCCCGAGGAGAGTGAGGCTGGGGGGAGGCTTCACTCGGACCCTCTGAGTTTTAAGTCAGCCTCGGAGTCCTCACGCTGCAGCCTGGAGGTGTCACTGAACTCGCCCTCAGCTGCCTCCTCACCAGGCCTCATGATGTCTGTGTCACCTGTCCCCTCCTCCTCAGCCCCCATCTCCCCATCCCCACCTGGTGCCCCCCCTGCCAAAGTGCCGAGTGCCAGCCCCACTGCCGACACAGCTGGGGCCTTGCACCCCAATGCCAAGGTGAACCCCAATTTGCAGCGGCGGCATGAGAAGATGGCCAACTTGAACAGCATCATCTATCGGCTAGAGAGGGCTGCTAACCGGGAGGAGGCCCTGGAGTGGGAATTCTGAAGGCAGGGTGAGGGGCATACCCTGGGCCCCCTTCCTTTTCTCACTTGCTGCCCTAGATGGGGTTTGGTCGGGGGGAGGCTCACGACCACCCAAATATGGACAGCAGAGTTATGCCATTTATGTTTTTTGTTGTAATCCTGGTTCTCTGAAGTTGCAGGTGGGCAGGTGGAGCAAATGCCGTGGTGGCCTCTTCCTTTTGGCATTTCCCACAGCAGGAAGCTTGGGTGACCTGCCCTTCTCCCCGACCCTGGCCCCTCTACAGGAGGCAGAAGCAAAACGGCACCACATTTTCACCTGAAAACTCCAAACTCTTTTAGAAAAATAAAGAAATATTTATAGACCTCTTTTAGATATTTTAATAAAGGATCCTTTGGAATTTATTCCCAGCCGATGCTGTTTTGATATTACAGAGAGTTATGAAATCAGGATGCTGTCACAACTGTTGCGAAGTATACATGGAAGTTGTGTCGTTTTTTTGCCACTAGATGAGATTAAAAGAAGACAATTGTTCAAAGCCATCAGTAAACACTATAAGACTGACCAAATTTAAATAACCTTTGAACCACGGTTTTCCCCACGCCTGTCTGTGAGACACAGCACGTTGCCATTGCCTGTCCGGAAGCCGTGCTGAAGGGAGAAAGTCCAAAAGACTCTAAACGAACACCTCGATGCCGTTGAGGATGTGTTCCATTCTGGTAGTCTGTTCTGCAACCTTGATAACACAGAGTGTCCCGTGCTGTTGTAAATGTCATAGAGATGTGGGCCGTGGCCCAGCGTCCTAGACTAGAGGTGGCATGGTACAAAGCAAACTGTTATACTCCCTGGTTAGGAACCCATCATGCCCATCTGTAGAAAAGATGTGTTTCCAGATCCTTCAGAAAGCTGGGTGTCGGGGCAGGTGCTCTGAGATGGTGCTTCAGCCAGAGTGACCCCTATTCCCAGCCTGAATCATGGCCACACCCAGCAAGTTTCCCCACTGGGCATTCCAGAGAAGACTGGCTGCATCCTCCCTCCTCGTGCTCTCAGAGGGACAGTGCGGTTATCCCACATGCAGGAAAGCTCAGCAGCCAGTGCCAAAGCAGATTCACCCACTAGAGACCCCTGCGGACCTGGTCATCACCTTCTCAAGCTGACCCCGGTGCTGCGTCTGGAAGGCTGAGTTCAGAACAGCATGTCCACGTACCCCAGTCTCCAAGGCCACCCTTCTTTCCAGCGCATGACTACTGGGAGCCAAGACTCAGCCCCAACTCAGGGGAGCCTTTCCTGCACATTTCTTCGTGTGTCTAGGGAGAGAGCTCCCCATCAGAATGGAGCAGCCTCCAAGGTGGTGGTTAAGCTCTCCATTTTACTTTACGTTTTCCAAACTGTGGGAAGGCTAAATTGGGTGACTCCCCGGAATGGTAACAAAAAAGTGACTGTAACTGGTGCCAAGTCAGTGCCAAGGGGAGAGATGGCAGACACATGTGGTGAGTATTTTGAAACCACAGGCAAAACCCAGCAACCAGAAAGGGACAACTGAAGACCGTCTCAGAAATCCCAACTCCAGTGCACCCAGCCCAGGCTGCAGTCCCACACCAGTCAACGTTGACACACCCCCGGAGGAGGGCCTTGCCCTCCGCACACCCAGGCTATGCACTGAAGAGTTTTCCACTGTATACATTTTTATCCAGATGAAGGTATTTTTATATTTTGACAATAGGAAACAGAGACCAGTTTTCAGAGTACTCCAATCTGGGACAAATGAAACATCGCGTAGCCACCACCGCCCTGTTGCACTAGACACTGGGGAAACACACCACTTTTTACTCTCGGAACCAACGCAACGTTGAAATCCAGGATTCTGATCCTTAGAGAACTCACGTTGGCTTTAGTGTGACGGGATTTGATTAAGCACTTAGTCTTCTGAACACAGAAATCCTGTCGTACTCAAAGCTGGCAGACCCGTGATCAGCTCTGTCTGGTTCACGTCCTGCAACGGTAAAAACAACACCCACAAAACCCCACAAAACTGTTTCTATGAGAGATTGATGAACTTTGTTTAAAATTTTAAAAAAAAGGAACACATTCTGTAAACAAGTCGCTAAATACAGAATTGTATAATAATTCTGGGTGTCCCGCTTCTTTGTTCTGGAGCTGGGGGAGCACACTGGGGGTCTGAACAGGTCCTCAGAGGTATTTTGCAAAACTCTATTTTTAAAAACTAGTTTTTGAGTTGGGTGCCAACATTAAAATCCAGGGGCATGTTACTTAGGAGACATGAATAGCAGCTCATCCATCATCTTCCCATGTAGACAAGATGTGTTTCCAGATCCTTCAGAAAGCCGGGTGACAGGCCAGCTGTCAGAGGGTGTTGCTTCAGCAGGGGTGACCCCATTTCCCAGCCTGAACCGTGGCCATACCCAGGAAGTTACTCGACAGGTGTAGAGCATTCTGAGGAAACAGGCAAGTCCAGCTTCTCTTGAAAACCCTGGTATCGGCCACACTAAGCCACATTCTAAGGTGACAACAGCCAGCTGAGGAGTGGCCCTCCCTAGACAGCGCAAGGCCCTTGACTTATCTCCACCTGGGCCCTGTGGCATCTGGGTTGACGACTGTGCATTGGGCTCCAACTGCCCTGAAGAAAGAGGGAAGGATTTTTCCCACTTGTTTTGTGGTTTTTTTGTGTGTGTGTGTGTGTGTGTGTGTGGTGCTGGGGATTGAACCTAGGGCCTGATGCATGCGAGGGAAGCACTCTACCAACTGAGCTATGTCCCCAGCCCTGATTTTTCCCACTTATAAGAATGGAAACTGCAGAATGGAAACAGCAGAATGGAAACTGGTTGCTTAGACTCTGGGGCCTGGTACAGGAGTCAAGGTCGTACCCTGTCCCCGCATCTGTGGCTTCAGACCAGCCAGCTGGTAAGCAGTTTCTACTTCAGGGGAGTGTGGGGCGGTCAGTGCCCCAGCCTCCCAATAAGATGCCAAGAGGGACTAACTGGGGGTAACAGCCTCAGACTCTTCCCCGGTGTGTAACCAGGGCCTCAGGTTTCCTCCCTGTAAAATGGGCAACTCACAGCAACTGACTCAGGGTCATTCTGAGGAATGAGCCTCAGCACATAAGACGTGTGGAGTGGGAGTCCAGCAGCTGACACTGTCAGTGGGCAGGTTCCTTCTGTCCACGGACAGGCTGCAGAATGGGTTTTGTGTGTGACCAGTAATGTTGAGAGAGCCCTGAAGTGGCACTAAACATGACTCACCCAAGAGCCAAAGCCACATGGCATCCCCAGGCAAGCTGCCCCTCACCCCCACCACCTGAAAAACCTTCCTCTCACCCCACTTCTTCATCCTGTCCCCACAGTGGGAATTAAGTGACCAAGTTTCCCCACCCCAGCTAGTAGAACTGTCACTCCAACCCTCGAGATGCCCTGACAACCCATCATGGGGCGTGGAGCTGGGAGAAGCAGGGGCTGAGGGCCAAGACCCATCAGAGCTCCCATGAAGGGGTGACATTTGGGGTGGGCCCAGGCCCTCTTCAGAGCTGCACCTCTCAAAACTGTGCATGCCCCAATCCCTTACTTCCCCAGCTGAAAAGGGGGTGATAACAACGACACTGTCCCCACAAAGCAGTTGCAAAGGTTCAAAATGGTTGTAAAATCTGAACTCCCAAGGAGTGTTTCCTTGAGTCCTGAGTTCTCAGCTCTTGAGAAACTGGAAAGTCAGGAAGAAGGCAGGGCATGGTGTCCTGAATCCCAGAGACTCAGGGGGAGGCTGAGGCAGGAGGATCACAAGTTCCAGACTGCCTGGGCAACTTAGCCACCCCTATTTCAAAATAAAAATGGCTGAGAGCATGATTCAGGGGCAGAGGAGAGTAGAGAGCTGAGCTAAGGGCAGTGTGGCAACTGTTCACTCACCTGCTGAGTATTTATTGAGTGCCTGCTGTGTGCTCAGGGCTTTGATGGGGAAGTTCAGGAACTGAGAACAGTAGTGAGGCCCAGGAGGAGGGAACACCGGCAGGAGATGGGATAGAGGCAAGAAGGGGGGAAGTCCTAAAGAGGCTGGAATACAAGGCAGAGGCATGGGAGGAAGAAACAAGGCATCCTTATGAAGAAGCACCGTGGGACCTGGTGGGAAATACAACTTTCTCCTGAGGGCACTGGGGAGCCATGGAGGGAGTGAGGCCTGGCGTTCGGGTGGGCAGACTTGTACTCTAAGGAAATTAGGAGGTTCCACCTGCTGGGAGATGGCAGGCCAGAGGATAGCACCAGGGTCCTTCTACACGGGCCTCCACGCTGCTTGCTTCCCCACCCCTGTCTGCCTTGTCTCCTGGTTGAGCCACACACACACACACACACACACACACGCACACACACACACACACATTTGGCAGCAGCTGCACATCCCAGGTGAATAAACAAAGCCAGACCTGGCCTCAGGGCCCTGGCCTCTGGGCTAGGGGGTCACTTGAAAGCCTGGCTCCACAGTCAAGGTACAGTTTGCATTGCAATGGAAACTGGGCTGCCTGCCCCATGCTAAATCCACCCTCCAATGTAAGAGCACTGGGGCAGGGGCTCAGGCAGGGGACTGCCCAGAAAGGCAGCTGGGTGACCTTGGCCAAGGTGACTCCTTACTCCAGGTCCCCCTTGACTTTAATGGCCTGCGGCCTCGGGCCAGTGCCCTGAGGTGTAGCAATGAAAGCACTGGCTTTGAGCTGAGTCTGCCCTGGGTTTACCTCCACCATGGGTCACCCCAGGGCCCTTCAGTGAGCCTGGGTTTCCTCATCTGTACAATGGCATGGTCATAGCAGCATCTTCTCGGTTTACAGCTGTCCTTACTGTACAACAAACAATGCCACAACCTCATGGCTTAAAGCAAGAAACGTTTGTGTTCCACAGCTTCTGTGGGCCAGGAATCTGGGGCCGACCTGACTGGCTGGTTCTGGCTGGCGGACTCTCAGGTTTCACTTACGCCATCAGCGAGGGCTGCAGTTAACCAAGGCAGCACTGGGGCTGGCCACCTGCTTCCAAGATGGTGCACTCCCACGGCCACCAGGCAGGTGGGCCTCAGTCCCTTTCCAGTTGGGCCTCTCCGTGCGGCAGGTGAATTTTCAGAATACCAAGGTGGAAGCTACAGGGTACTCTGTGACCTAAATTTGGAAGTCCTATTATCCTGTCCCCAGCATCCTATTAGCCCCACAGGCTGCCTAAGATTTGGTGTGGGAGGGTGGGGAAGCAAGAGGAGGAGGCAAGTTTTACTTAAGAGAGGGATAGCACACCTGTGATCCCAGCAGCTCAAGAGGCCAAGGCAGGAGGGTTGGGAGTTCAAAGCCAACCTCAGTAACTTAATGAGGCGCTAAGTAACTCAGTGAGGCCCTGGCTCTAAATAAAATACAAAAAAGAGCTGGGGATGTGGCTCAGTGGTTGAGCATCCCCAGTACCAAACAAAAGGGGGACAGAAGTAGAGGAGACTTCTCCAGAGAGAAGGGGGCCCGGAGCTGGGTGCCTGTAGGAGGGGTGTGTCTTGCTCTTTTACGGACCCCAGAATCCCCCCACCGTCTCTTTCTTCTCCATGTGTCTACCCGAGGGCAGGAAGGAGCAGCACAGGGTAATGGCAGTGTTGGGAAGTGTGATTAGCTGTTAGCAACCAGCAATACCCAGCCCTCAGTGCCCCAGCTGGCTCAAATGCGGTCTAAAGGTGGAGCCACTGATTGGGCATCAGTCAGAGGAAGCAAGGCCAGGGCACTGGGTTGCTTTGGATCTCTAGGTGTGCTGCCCACGGACACTGACAAAACGAGAGAATGAGGATTCGAGAGTAAATATTCCTTGAGTGTCTTGTCGCAGGCAAGAACCACTGGGTTGAAAGAAACCGCACATAGTTGACGGGGGGACCCCAGGCAGGGGCCTGTGTGGAGTCCGCTTTGATCTGTCCAGTTCTCTAACAGGTCTGGTTGTCTTCTCTGACATCAGGACTTCCTGGTCCATCAGGTCTTCAGTCAAGTGCCCTCAGGTACCTTATTTTCTATTCCCCAACTCAAAACTCTCAGGACCCTGATTGGCTCAGCCTGTGTTTTGACACCAATGCTTGCCCAAGGAGCTGTAACCAGGAGGGAAAGAAGTGAGGGAGCATGACTGGCCTCTCTATGACCCCTACCCTGAGGAGCTGTGGTCTGGAGGCTTGTTGCCCTGCCCCAGGACTACTCTACCCCGCAGCTAGCAGACAGCTGTCCCTGGACCATGAAGAGAGGTCAACCAATTACTTTGAGAACTGGCCTGATGAGACTGGCATCCATACCCCACGTGCAGGTAAACCAACAGGGGCAGCTCAACTGCCTGGCAGGATCGGGCAACCCCTTTGGAAGCTCGGAAAAAGAAACACTTCCTGGGCCATGGAGATTGAACCCACTGAGCTGCATCCTTGCTATTTTGAGACAGTGTCTTGCTAAGTTGCCCCAGGAGGCCTGCAGCTTACCACTCTCCTGCCTCAGCCTCCTGAGTCACTGGAATCTAGTCTGAGTCACTGCACCTGGCTCCCCACTTACTTCTTCAGAATGAACGGTAGTCCACTATTCATCTAGACCACATGGTCTACCCATTCATCTGTGGGTGGACACTGGGGACGCTTCCACTTTGTGGCCATGGTGAATAGGCTGCTATGAACACTCTCTAAGCCCCTGCTCTCAATTCTTATGGCATCCACCCAGAAGTGGAATTGCTGGTGACTATTTTTAACAGTTTGAGGAACCACCAGGCTTTTCCACAGAAGCTGCTCCATTTCACATCCCCACAGACACTGCATGAGGGTTCCCACTTCTCCAAGCCCTGCCCACACCCGCCGTCTTTCTTCCTAGCAGTCATCCTGAGAGGTGCAAGGTGGGCTCCCGTGGTCCTGGTCTGCACATTCCTGTTGATTAGTGACACGGGGCATCTTTTCAGGTGCTCACTGGCCATTTGTGCACCTTTTTTGGAGAAATGTCTAATCAAGCCCTTTGCCCATTGTTTTATCAGGTAGTTTTGTTGTGAGTGTCAATGCTGTTGGGTTCTGGGGTTTCTACATATTCTGCACGTCACTCCTTAACCAGATCGCAAAATGATTTGCACATAGTTTCTTATGGCCCATCTTTTAAAAAGCCTTCATCAGAAAATGCAAAAAAAAAAAAAAA